AAAAAAAAAAAAAAAAGAAATCTGATAATGGCTTTTAGTCAATACGAACATGTGGGCCAGAGAGCATATATCACATTTGTTTTGTTTTTATTGTGCAATTTGTTTTATACAATGTTTTCTCTGATCTCAGTGTATAAAATTTCCCAGTACTCATTGTATATTTTATATTTTATGCGTAGTGAACTAGGTAACTATGGGGAATGCATATATATAAAATTGCTGTATTGCCTGGCTGTTACAAAAGTGTAGTTGAGACATCATAATTGCGCTTTACTATGCTATTAGTCAATTCTTTATTTATTTATGTACTTATTTTGGAGACAGAGTCTTGCCCTGTCACCCAGGCTGGAGTGCAATGGCACGATCTCAGCTCACTGCAACATCCGCCTCCTGGGTTCAAACAATTCTTTTGCCTCAGCCTCCAGAGTAGCTGAGATTATAGGTGCCCGCCACCATGCCCAGCTGATTTTTTTGTATTCTTAGTAGAGATGGGGTTTCCCCAGATGGCCAGACTGTTCTCGAACTCCTGACCTCGTGATCCACTTGCCTTGGCCTCCCAAAGTGCTTGGATTACAGGTGTGAGCCACTGTGCCTGCCGTTAGTCAATTGTTATTTCTTAAAATGCTGTGTATTTTGTTTTGTTTTGTTTTGTTTTTTGAGATGGAATCGTGCTCTGTCGCCCAGGCTGGAGAGCAGTGGTGTGATCTCAGCTCACTGCAAGCTCCACCTTCTGGGTTCAGGCCATTCTCCTGCCTCAGCCTCCAGAGTTGCTGGGACTACAGGTGCCCGCCACCACACCCAGCTAATTTTTTTGTATTTTTTTAGTAGTGACGGGGTTTCAGCATGTTAGCCAGGATGGTCTCAATCTCTTGACCTCATGATTCGCTACCTCGGCCTCCAAAAGTGCCAGGATTACAGGTGTGAGCCACCGCGCCCAGCCAAATGCTGTGTATTTCCTTGACCTCATACATCAGAAGGTAGTGATCTTAACATGTATTTCAGTTCTGATGTTGCGTGCTGGTGGTTAAGTAGAAGTTGTGGATTTTTTCTTAAGAGGAATTGTTTAGAATTCTGCAGCCTGTATAAATGTACTCATTTACTTGCTGGTTTTATCATGGGTTCCAATATTTTATTAATTAATTTTTATAATTTTATATATGGCTTTTTGGTATGTGGTATGCAATATAACTGACACACTCCACTCGTTAAAGTCACAAAGTGCCACCGGGTGCAGTGACTCACACTGGTAATCCCAGAACTTTGGGAAGCTGAGGCGGGTGGATTACTTGAGGTCAGGAGTTTGAGACCAGCCTGGCCAACATGGTGGCCAACATGGTGAAACCCCATCTTTATTAAAAACACAAAAATTTGCCAGGCATAGTGGTGCATGCCTGTAATCCCAGGTACTCAGGAGTCTGAGGCAGGAGAATCACCTCCACCCAGGAGGCAGAGGTTGCAGTGAGCTGAGATCGCACCATGGCACTCCAAGCTGGAGTGAAAGACCCTGTCTCAAAAAAATAAATATACAAAAAATTTAAAAGCGCCTGTTTTGTGTGGATATAGGTAATTTTATGACATTTATTCAGAAAAATATTGTATTAACTATTTTTTCTTTTTTTTCTTTTTTTTTTTTTTGAGGCGGAGTCTCACTTTGTCACCCAGGCTGGAGTGCAGTGGTGTGATCTCAGCTCACTGCAACCTCTGCCTCCTGATTCAAGTGATTCTTGTGCCTCAGCCTCCCAAGTAGCTGTGACTGCAGGCGCGGACCACCATACTTGGCTAATTTTTGTAATCTTTTCTTATCTTCTCAGTGCTATAATTGTTTGATAGTACAGAATTTCCATTGCTTTTGGTTATTCTTATATGAGCTTGTTGTGGATTATTTACCAATATTATATATTGTGTGGGGTTTTTTTTTTGTAGCATTTATTTGTATACAGTGAATATGCTTTAAATGTGAAGAATACATATTTTTCTCTTCGTTGATGTGACAGTGATATGTTTCTTGCAAATTGTGATAGACTTTAGGGTCACAGTGGAAAAATACTCCTCACTTTAGGCTTACACGTGTTTGTGCCCTGTCAGTGTTTTGTCATGATACAGAAAATAGACTTCCATAGAATTGATTTGAAGGACATATAATTGCCCTTTATTTATTAAAGAATCTTACTCCTTTTGTGTTCCTATACTTTGAAGATCATGTTTGGGAAGTTCAAAATAAGTCTTGTTTTTTGTGTCATATTTACACACTCCAGTATGATTTGCCATCTAGACTTAATTGGAAACCTGTTGGTGTTTATATTTTGTAGATATCTCTTCCAAATGCATGATGAAGGAGGTCTTGTCAACAGGGCAAGGCAATATAGAAGTGTTCTACCCAGGGACATTGCAAAGACCTGAAAGTCATCACATTGGAGATTTTTGCTTCCAGGACATTGAAAAAGAAATTCATGACATTGAGTTTCAGTGTCAAGAAGATGAAAGAAGTGGCCATGAAGCACCCATGACAAAAATTAAAATCTTGACTGGTAGTACAGACCAATATGATCAAAAGCATGCTGGAAACAAGCCTATTAACTATCAGCTTGGATCAAGTTTTCATTCACATCTGCCTGAATTGCACATATTTCAGATCAAAGGCAAAATTGCTAGTCAACTTGAGAAGTCTACCAGTGATGCTCCCTCGGTTTCAGCATCCCAAAGAATTTCTTGTAGGCCCCAAACCCAGATTTCTAATAACTATAGGAATAATTTCTTGAATTCTTCATTACTCACACAAGAACAGGAAGTACACATGACAGAAACATCTTTCCAATGTAATGAGAGTGGCAAAACCTTTAATTGTAGCTCACTGTTAAGGAAACACCAGACAATCCATTTAGGAGACAAACCATATAAATGTGATCTATGTGGCAAGCTCTTTAATCATAAGCAGTACCTTGCATGCCATCAGAGATGCCACACAGGTGAGAAACCTTACAAGTGTAATGAATGTGGCAAGTCCTTCAGTCAGGTGTCATCCCTTACATGCCATCGTAGACTTCATACTGGAGTAAAACCTTACAAGTGTAATGAGTGTGGCAAGATCTTTGGTCAAAATTCAGCCCTTGTAATTCATAAGGCAATTCATACTGGAGAGAAACCTTACAAGTGTAATGAATGTGATAAGGCTTTTAATCAACAATCAAACTTTGCACGTCATCATAGAATTCATACTGGAGAGAAACCTTACAAATGTGAAGAATGTGACAAAGTTTTCAGTCACAAATCAACCCTTGAGACACATAAGAGAATTCACACTGGAGAGAAACCGTACAAATGTAAGGTTTGTGACACAGCTTTCACGTGGCATTCACAGCTGGCACGACATACCAGAATTCACACTGGAGAGAAAACTTACAAGTGTAATGAGTGTGGCAAGACTTTCAGTCACAAGTCCTCCCTTGTATGCCATCGAAGACTTCATGCCAGAGAGAAATCTTACAAATGTGAGGTTTGTGACAAGGCTTTCATGCGGAATTCACAACTGGCAAGACATACTAGAATTCACCCTGGAGAAAAACCTTACAAGTGTCGTGAATGTGGCAAGACCTTTGGTCAAAATTCAGATCTTTTAATTCATAAATCAATTCACACTGGAGCGCACCCTTACAAATGTGAAGAATGTGAAAAAGTTTTCAGTCGCCAGTCAAGCCTTGAGACACATAAGGTAGTTCATACTGGAGAGAAACCATACAAATGTAAGGTTTGTGACAAGGCTTTCGCGTGTCATTCCTATCTGGCAAAACATACTAGAATTCATAGTGGAGAGAAACCTTACAAGTGTAATGAGTGCGGCAAGACCTTCAGTCACAGGTCATACCTTGTATGCCATCGTAGAGTTCATAGTGGTGAGAAACCTTATAAGTGTAATGAGTGCGACAAGACCTTCAGTCGCAGGTCATCCCTTCATTGCCATCGTAGACTTCATAGTGGTGAGAAGCCTTACAAGTGTAATGAGTGTGGCAATACCTTCCGTCACTGGCCATCCCTTATATACCATCGTAGACTTCATACTGGAGAGAAATCTTACAAATGTACTGTTTGTGACAAGGCTTTCGTGCGTAATTCACTCCTGGCAAGACATACTAGAATTCACACTGCAGAGAAACCTTACAAGTGTAATGAATGTGGGAAGGTTTTTAATCAACAATCACACCTTTCACGTCATCATAGAATTCATACTGGAGAGAAACCTTAGAAATGTGAAGCGTGTGACAAAGTTTTCAGTTGGAAATCACACCTTAAAAGACAGAATTCATACTGGAGAGAAGCCATACAAATGTAAGGTTTGTCACAAGACTTTTGCGAGTGATTCACTCTGGCACAACATACTGGAATTCACACTGGAGAGAAACAAGTGTAATGAGTGTGGCAAAGCCTTTAGTGGACAGTCAACACTTATTCCCCATCAGGCAGTTCATGGTATGGGGAAATTTGACTAATGTAATAATTCTCACAGTCTTCAGTAACGCTAAAACCATTGCAAATCATTTGAGAACCCATAATGAAGGGATATCTTACAAGTATAATAAATGTGGTAAAGTTTTCAGACATCGTTTGTACATTGCAGTTCATTGGCAAACTCATACTGGAGAGAAACCTTACAAAGGTCATGACTGTGGCAAGGTCTTCAGTCAAGCTTCATCCTATGCAAAACATAGGAGAATTCATACAGGAGAGAAAGCTCACAAGTGTGGTGATTGTGGCAGAGCCTTTACTTCATGTTCACACCTCATTAGACATCAGAGAATCCATACTGGACAGAAATCTTACAAACGTCATAAGTGTGGCAAGGTCTTTAGTCCGAGGTCACTCCTTACAGAACATGAGAAAATTCATTTTTGAGATAACTGTTCCCAATGAAATAAGTATAGCAAACCATCAGGCATTAATTGACATTAGAGTCAATTCAGCATTGACTCGAGTTTCTGTTGACTTAACATTGAGTTCAAGCCTTAATTGACATTAAAGTGTTTGTGTTAAGAGGATTGGGCCAGGTGTGGTGGCTCAGGCCTGTTGTGCCAGCACATTGGGAGGCCAAGGCAGGTAGATTACTTGAGGTCGGGAGTTTGAAACCAGCATGGCCCACACATGTTAGCCACTTGTCTCAGCCTGTTTTTTGTTTCTGATTGTCTATTATTATTATTATTATTGGAGATAGTACTTTTTAAAGAGATAGTACTTCTTTGAGATAGTACTTTTTAAAAGGAGTATCAGCTGGGTGTGGTGGCTCACGCCTGTAATCCCAGCACTTTGGGAAGGCGGGCGGATCATGAGGTCAGTAGATTGAGACCATCCTGGCTAACACGGTGAAACCCCGTCTCTACTTAAAAAAATACAAAAAAACCCAGCCAGGCGAGGTGGCAGGCACCTGCAGTCCCAGCTACTTGGGAGGCTGCGGCAAGAGAATGGCGTGAACCTGGGAGGTGGAGCTTGCAGTGAGCTGAGATCCGGCCACTGCACTCCAGCCTGGGCGAAAGAGCGAGACTCCGTCTCAAAAAAAAAAAGAAAAGAAAAAAAATACAAAAAATTAGCCTGGCGTGGTGGTGCGCGCCTGTAGTCCTAGCTACTGGGGAGTCTGAGGCAGGAGAATGGCGTGAACCCGGGAAGCGGAGCTTGTAGTGAGCTGAGATCACGCCATTGCACTCCAGCCTGGGAGACAGAGCCAGACTCCGTCTCAAAAAAGAAAAAAGAAGCAGCAAGGGTAATACATAGGGGAGCAGCAAGCAAGTTCTTATTACTAGCAATATATCTACAATGACGGTTTTAAATCCTGCTGTAGCTGGAAACTATTTTCTAAATAAAGACCTAGGATCAAACTCGTGCTCAGGCTGTACAGGCACATGTGAAAACTTTGTCATGTCCTTGACTATGTTTTTAACTACGAGTCCTTGATCATTTATTTGTAGGCAGCAATTGGTTAAGTTAAATTTTTTACAGACTCCTCCTTCAGCTGCCAGCAAGTAGTCTAAGGTCAGTCTATTCTGATAGATAGCATTCTTCATTTGGGCTTCCTGCCAAGCTAAAACAGTCAAAGCTCTGCCAGTTTCATTAGTAATTATTTTTAAGATGGCAGGCAACTGTATGATCCGATTGAGCAAGTAGATGGGGGTTCAGTATCTTCATAAGCCGTCTTGTGCCCATGTGGCAGGCTTATAATACTGTGTGATCCTTTCAGAGGGCCACTCATTATCTTTCCAGTTTCCTATAACTATGCTTCTCTTTTCTCGGGAGGCATAGACAAGGAAGCCTAGGAGCTCACTTGTTTTTGCGGGTAATAAAAAAAAGGACAGCTTAAGAGTGCCAGTAACACAACTGCCTGCCTATTTATTAGGTAACCAAATGTGGGCTCTGTGCCTACATATCCAGTATAGTCCAGCAGGGCCGTCCAGTCCTGATGAGATTCTGGATAAGCCCAGGCAGTTTTTAACTTAGAAAATTTACTAAATGGGTTCTTTTCAGTGTGGTTTAGGCCCCACAAAATAATTGTCTTTGTTGTGCTGTTGTACAACTTCTGTCCTATACAATTAAGATTTCATACTGGGATGATAAAGTTTTTTCCTCCTGTAGCTATACAGTATTGTTCAATAATTGAGGTTTTTAGGACCTATAAGTTGCTAGCTTAGGCCTTCTGAACTGGAATTACATCAGGAGCTGGATCAGTGGGCACCAACTCTTGGGCTTCCGAAGGCCATTGGTCTCTGATAGTGGTTCCTCCACATACATAAGAAGTAACATTGAGGGAATGAGCTACATTTTCTGCTAATTGGAGCAACAATTTTTTTGTCTTTTTCAGAAATTCTGGTTCTGGTAGATTCAGCTCATCAAAAAAGGTTTGAAACACTGGTTCGGGAGAGCTCTTGTGAACCTCCCTTTGGAATAAAATGACAACTTGGGGGGTTTAACCTTGTCCCATCAATTCAGGGTTACAAGTTCTCCTTTTTTCTAATGGGGATCTAGGGGATGGGTGGTTATTAGTTCCAGTGGGTTACAGTGACCGGCAGCACAAGAGGGGTTGGCGGGGATCTAGGGGATGGGTGATTATGAGTTCCGGTGGGTTACAGTGACCGGCGGCACAGGAGGGGTTGGTGGGGATCTAGGGGATGGGTGATTATTAGTTCCAGTGGGTTACAGTGACCGGCGGCACAGGGGGGGTTGGCGGGGATCTAGGGGATGGGTGATTATGAGTTCCAGTGGGTTACAGTGACCGGCAGCACAGGAGGGGTTGGCGGGGATCTAGGGGATGGGTGATTATGAGTTCTAGTGGGTTACAGTGACCGGCAGCACAGGAGGGGTTGGCTTCCTCCTTCTGAAGGTGAACCGGGTCCTTTTTGTTCTTTTTCTAAGTAGCCTAAATAACACATGGCTAACAGGCACAATTTTCACAAACTTCTGACTCATGACAAACATATTTATTTTCTATTCTGTAGCTTCTTTCCTAATTAAGAGAACCACATCCTGTTCCTAGCTTGTTACTACTAATGGCTGCACAAGCATCAAACCTTAAAGTTTCTTGTTTGGGGATTCCTTTTTCTTCTGTTCTAGTTATTGTTTTACTTGTATCACCGAGGAAAAGGCCAGTTCTTAATCTTATTTCAAAAACGGTGGCTGCAGGGGGCTCAGATGGATTATAACACACATCAGGTTGGTCATTCCTCAGGCTACATATCTTGTACTGAGTGGCACTATACAAACAAGTTTCTTTTAAGGTTCCTACACATTTATAATAACCATAGAACAGAAAGATTGCTTTAATTTGCTGTCCTACTTCAGTGACCTGATGAATACACTGGCAACAGTCTCCAGTTTGAGTAAGGTCAGTTGAATCCTTTACCGTATAATCTAAAATTTAAGGCCGGTTGTGGTGGCTCAAGCCTGTAATCCCAGCACTTTGGGAGGCCCAGGCGGGTGGATCACGAGGTCAGGAGATCGAGACCATCCTGGCTAACATGGAGAAACCCTGTCTCTACTAAAAAATACAGAAAAACTAGCCGGGCGAGGTGGCAGCTGCCTGTAGTCCCAGCTACTCAGGAGGCTGAGGCAGGAAAATGGCATAAACCCGGGAGGCGGAGCTTGCAGTGAGCCTAGATCCGGCCACTGCACTCCAGCCTGGGCGACAGAGCGAGACTTGTCTCAAAAAAAAAAAAAAAAAAAAAAAAAATTTAAAGTGTAGAGTGTTAGATTAAGTTGCATCAGAGGAGTGGTACACTCCTTACGGTCTCCCTCTTCTTTTTGTTTAATCAATAGAGTTTTGAGTGTTCTATTAGTTCTTTCAACTATGGCCTGTCCTTGGGAATTATAAGGAATTCCTGTGTATGTGTAATTTTCCGCTGATTTAAGAATTTTTGGAAAGCTTCACTTCAGTATCCTCATCCATTGTCAATTTTAATTTTTTTTTTTTTTTTTTTGGAACTCCCATGACAGCAAAACAAGATGATAAATGTTTTTTAACATGGGAAGTGCTTTCTCCTGTCTGGCAAGTTGCCCATATGAAATGTGAATAAGTATCAACTGTTACATGGACACATGATAATCTTCCAAATGAAGGCACATGCGTGACATCCGTTTGCCATAACGCATTATGACATACACCTCTGGGATTGACTCCTGCCTTTTGAGTGGACAGCTGTAGGACCTGACACTGGGTTCAATGTTGTACAATATTTTTTGCCTGTTTCCATGTGACATTAAATTTGTTTTTTATTTTTATTTTTAAATTTTTTTTTTGAGACAGAGTTTCACTCTTTTTGCCCAGGCTGGAGTACAATGGCACAATCTCGGCTCACCGCAACCTCTGCCTCCCAGGTTCCAGCAATTCTCCTGCCTCAGCCTTCTGAGTAGCTGGGATTACAGGCATGCATCACCATGCTCGGCTAATTTTGTATTTTTAGTAGAGACAGGGTTTCTCCATGTTGAGGCTGGTCTTGAACTCCTGACCTCAGGTGATCCACCCACCTTGGCCTCCCAAAGTGCTGAGATTACAGGCATGAGCCACTGGGCCTGGAAAATTTGTTTTTTTAATCCTGCTGCATTTACATGAGTCAAAGCATGAGGTTCTTGTGCTTTTGTGAATGCAGATGATACCAGTAAGTCAGCTTGTTCATTTGCTTTAGTTGAAGGCCCTGGTAAATTAGTGTGTGCTCCAATATGAGTAACATAAAACAGGAAATTTCTTTTTCTTACAGTTTGCTGTAATAAATTGAACAGCTGGTTTAACTGATCATCCATGCTATATTTAATTAGAGCTGTCTCAACATCCCTTGTAGTCTGTACTACATATGCAGAATCTGATACAATATTAATAGGTTGATTGAAATCTTGTAACACTGCGATGACTGCAACCAACTCTGCTTTTTGAGCCGATTGATACTGAGATTTGATGACTCGCTCTTTTAGGCCTCTGTAAGCCACTTTTCCATTACTGGAACCATCAGCAAATACTGTCAGAGCATTTTCTAAAAGTTTATGTCTGGTAATTTTAGGTAAAATCCAAGTAGTCAATTTTAAAAACTGGAAGATTTTTGTTTTTGGGTAATGATTATCAATAATTCCCACAAAATCAGCAAGCTCAATCTGCCATGCACCAGAATTGATAAAGGCTTGTCTAACCTGTTCCTTGTTTAAAGGAACAACGATCTTTTCTGGGTCATTTCCACGCAATTTTATTATTCATAATCTTGCCTGACCAATTAATGCAGCTCTTTGATCCAAGTGCAATGTAAAAGTCTTAATTGTACTGTGAGGAAAATTTTTCAAAATCCTGCTCCGCCAGAGGAATGGTAAAAAAGCAATCTTTCTGATCAATTATATTTAAAGGCCAGTTGGGATCATGGCCGGAGAGGGCAACCCGGTTGGAGAGGCCCCATGGGTTGAATTATGGCATTTACGGCTCCTAAGTCAGTTAACATTCGCCATCTGCCGGATTTTTTCTGAATTACAAACAGGAGAATTCCAAGGTGAGAATGAAGGCTCAATACAGAGTAGTATTGCCTCCAGCATATCACACCTCCAGCCACAGGGTGGTTTTCTCCTATCTGAGAATAGAACCAATGGGAATGGTCGGCTTTACACCAAGACATTCCATTCCCAGGACTTGCGGGAGACAGAAGCCTTCCTCTTATCTCAACTGCAAAGAGGCCTCCCTCTTTCACTACTCCTCCTCAGCACAGACCCTTCAAGGGTGTCGGACTGGTGGATGGTAAGGTCTTTCCTTTCCCAGGAGGCCATATCTCAGGCTGTCTCAGTGGGGGGAAACCTTGGACAATACCCAGGCTTTCTTTGGCAGAGTTCCCTGTGGTTTTCCACAGTGCATTGTGTCCCTGGTTAATCGAGAATGGAGAATGGCGGTGACTTTTACCAAGCACACTGCCTGCAAACATATTGTTAACAAGGCACATCCTGGCCAGGCATGGTGGCTCACGCCTGTAATCCAAGCACTTTGGGAGGCTGAGGCGTTCGGATCACAACGTCAGGAGTGCCAGACCAGCCTGACCAAGATGGTGAAACCCCATCTCTGCCAAAAGTGCAGAAATTAACCAGCTGTGGTGGCGAGCACCTGTAATCCCAGATACTCAGGAGACTGAGGCAGGAGAATCTCTTGAACCCTGGTGGCAGAGGTTGTAGTGAGCCGAGATCACACCACTGCACTCCTGTCTGGGCCACAAAATGAGACTGCACCTCGAAAAACCAAAACCAAAAAAAAAAAAAAAACCCGAAAAACAAGAAACAAAAAAGGGCACATCCTGCACAGCCCTAAATCCATTAAATTTTGATTCATTATAGCACATGTTTCTGTGAGCACAGGGTTGGGGCTAAAGTTACAGGTTAACAGTATCTCAAAGCAGAAATAATTTTTCTTAGTACAGATCAAAATGGAGTTTCTTATATCTTCCTTTTCTACATAGACACAGTAACAATCTGATCTGTCTTTCTTTTCCCCACAATCCAGGCACAGTACCTTTCCTTAAACTCATTCATGATACAGAATCCTTTGCTCACACGTTGTTTCCCTGCTGACCTTCTCCCCACCATCACCCTGTTACCCTGCTGCACTCCCCTTGCCAAGAGAGTAAAAATAGTGATCAACAAATACTGAGGGAACTCAGAGACCAGCGCCGGTGGGGGTCCTCGCATGCTGTGTGTGCCCGTCCCCTGGGCCCACTGTTCTTTCTCTATACTTTGTCTCTGTGTCTTATTTCTTTTCTCAGTCTCTCATCTCCACCTGATGAGAAATATCCACAGGTGTGGAGGGGCTGGCCCCCTTTATTTTTCACATATAGGATTGATTTCTAAAGACTAATGTTACATGAGGAAACAGCTCAGAGGAGGAAAGAAAAAGAGCCAGGCCTGGCTCTTCCTCCAGTGAAGTCATCTTCCTCGGTGGATTAATCTGTTTCTTTCCTTTCTGAAATGCCAGATATTGTAGTAGCCAGTCTTTTCTGAGTCTGAGGCAGTCTGCCTGACACGCTCACTCCCACTCACCCATGCCTGCCCTCAGTTCCTCTCACCTGCTCTGAGATTCCATCCCCTGTGACCCGGTGACAAGAACTTCTTAAGAGGCTGCACTGGGCACGGTCCTGGGAAGGGCTCACACCCAGACATGGATGGACACTGGGTGTGGGCCCCCTAGTGTCAGTGCTATTGAGGAGCCTGGATTGTTCAGGGGCCACATCTGGATGTCAGCAATTTGTGGACCAGATCAGAGAAACAATATGTGAAGTGCATACGTTATTGTGCACAGATATCTGGTCAATTCTGAAAAAGGAGACCAATAAGGGGAGATATTTTGTATCTGATTTGGTAATGCATTTCAAGCCACACTTTGGGGGCGGGGTCTGGTTAGACGGCGTGGGGCGGGTGGGGACTGGGGTGGGGCAAAAGGTAGGAGGCTGCCTGGAGGCTGGGCTGGACAGCGGGACGGGGTGTGGCCAGAGGCTTATTTTTGTCTTGGGGCCTGGGCTTGAAATGGGGTGTTGTTCTTCAGGGCGGGGCCTGGCGGCGATGGGTCGGGGCTCTCTCCTCAGCTGGGTCCATGATGTGAGCTGCTGTCATCCTCTTCACCTCCAGGACTGGATCCCCCGGGTTCTGATTGGTGAATTGTTGTTGGTGTGCCCTGATATTACCCCTAATATCACAGGGATACTTCCTGCCCATTTTAAGTTAGCATTTCCAACAATCGAAGGTAAAACATTTTGTAGTGGGCCACCCGTACTGAACGCTGAATCTTTTTTTCTCTGAAGTTGAAAATGGTTTTAAGGCAAAGCGCCTTTTTCGAGCAGGTAGAGTCGCGCGTCCTGCAGGCGGAGCGAGTTCCCCTCAGGCTGGGGCAGGACTGGGGACAGGGGCAGGTACCACGGTAAAGGGGTGGAGTGGGGCGCTGCTTACAACCGGGACTGACAATTAGAATGGCTTAGTAAACTAAGCAAAGTCCTGGGTTGTTTGAGTGGATAATGGACACTGAAAGGTGACGTGGAAAACTGCCTATTACACTATACCCACCGTTTATTTAGTCTTAGGAAGACTAAGCATCCCCAGCAGTAAGACCTCCTGAGATCCTTGTCCCTTCTTACGGAGTGATAAAGTAACCT